TGTATGTATGTATGTATGTATGTATGTATGTATGTATGTATGTATGTATCTTTTCAAAGGGGGTGTACTCATTTATCCTCAGCACTGTATACAAACAACCCCTTTGTCCAGCCTCCCTATTTTCACTGTCCTGTGTTTTGCACTTTAAGTCCTGTGAAAGCCCCCCCCCCCCATCACTGTTTGCATGTTATTTCGTGTTACTGTGTGCCTGTCCATGGATGATGACTAAGTCCACCTGATACCTTGTAAAACCCTTGTTGCTATACCGACTTATTTGTTATGTACAAGCTCCTCAATATACGCGTTTTTTTTTTTTTTTTTGAGCTTCGGTTTTTTTTGCTGCCTGTGACTTGTTTCTCTGCCTTTGGATGTTTACTCTTTTTGTTTCTGTTTTATTTGCATTTTTCCCAACATCCTGGGTCCCAGGCCCACAGCCAGACGGAGTCAGGTGACGGCGTCTCCTGGCGAATGCTGGCCGAAGTTGAAGGCGAAGCCACTGGGACCGACCAACCAGTACGAGCTGGCGGAGCTCCTCAAAATCAAGGTGCGGCTCCCCGACACAGTGCCCCTCTTACCGCCACTTATCAGCTTTATTTATAAAAGAAAAATTACTGGGTGCCCAGCCTTGGCAATAAGGCAGCAAAAAGCATGCAGAAGTACATTGCTGGTTTTCATTTATTAGTAAATAAATACATTTAGCAAATCTTTATCAAAAATTAGTTGCTGTGAACAAATTTGCTGATTAAATTCTGCTGAATGTTTGATTTCCAGGAGTTTATGAATAGATTATTGCATAAAACTATTCATATTTACAAGGTAACATGTAATACATGTGCAGTAAATTCACATGTCTGTTAGTCTGGGCTTTATGTGATTAAATTAGGCCTTTTGGAAAGTGCCCTTGTCCTGGCTCCTCTGGGAGGGGGGTGTCCCATTTCACCTGCTGCCACCCCCATTCAGAACCAGAACCCCAGAGGCAGTAGTGGAAAGAGGCACCAGGACTCCCCAAATGCGAAAAAGAGGCTGAATGGATGCAACAGCCAACAGGTGCTGCTTGTTCTTTCTCAGTTCTGCATGTGGCACGGTGGTCACACCTGATCATCTGTGCCTGTTCAGTAGATGAGCTATTTTACATTTGTATTATAGTGTTAATCCATTACTGTGATGGGTCCTGGGTTATTCCCTGCCTTGCACCTGTAGCTTCCGAGAGAGGCTCAGGAGCCCCGCGACCCTGCACGAATAGATGTTAAGCCATTATGTATTTATTGTTTTAGAAAGAAGACAAGAGGCTTCAGCCAAGGAGACTACAGGACAACTTTGAAGCGGGTGGGTTTCCAGCTCTGTGGGGTAGCGGTGAATCTATCACAATGCATGTCAGAGGGATAGAGTTTTGCTCAGAGGTTAAACATCCATCTCCTTTTATTTCTGAATGTGTTTAAGTAGCTTACAGGACACAGTAGGATGGGATGCATTTTCTAACTCCATGGTTTCAAATCATGGTTTTGTGGCCTTAACGTGTGGTCAGTTGAATTCAGTGACCTCCCTAATTGGGTTCTGCTCCTTTGTCTTTGGGGAAGGATCCCCCTTTTGATCCAGTTAATCTTGTTCAGAACTGTCTTCATCTCTGCGTGGGCTGGGAGTATGCCCCCCCCCCCCCAACCGTGTGACACTACCTCTCTGCATTCCAGACGCAGCATATGACCTGTGCAGCTCCAATGACGAGCAGCCCTTGCGACAGGCCGACCAGCCTCCAAGGTGCAATGGGGATTGTGGCCATCCGCTGTCCTCCAGGTCCTTCCTCAGTTTCAAGTTCGACCGGGAGGCCATAATGAAATGCTTTGATTCCTGAGGTCGATGCCCAGCCCATCACCTGCTCCCACTTCTCTCTCTCGCTCCCTCTCACTGATTCATTCACTTTTCTGTCACTCTCAGGAGTGCAAGAAGTAACAGGGATTTGCAGAGAAACACCCACACAGAGCAGAATCCCTGGGTCGAGTTATCCTGTCACTTAAACTTACTGAAAGGTGTCTTCTAGTGGTGTTGACAATTTGTTTGATTGCTCATTGTTTGCATTTTACAGTATTATCTTACCTCCCCTCCCCAGTCCAGATTAATGCACTGCAAGCACTCATTTAGGTTAACTTCCTCAAAGATGGCCTTTTTTGGGGGGTGGGGGGGGCAACAGGAGCTTTCGAACACACTGGATGAGGTCGGGCCTTGTGCTGTGAGTCTCCTGGTGGGAGCTCTACCACTCAAGCTATTTGTCTAGCTATAGCTGATAACGAGTAGCCACTGTACATTTCAAAGTAGCGGAGCGATTTCAAACCAGTTTGGCTTCCCTCCTTCGACCTCGGCCGTTTTTGGCTAGGTTTCCCCCCTCGCTGGGTTTGCCATGTTTTGCTGTTGAAGTTTGGACTGCTGTGAGAAACCGTGCAACCTTGCCCTACTGTCCAGCTCAGTTCCTGCTGCTCCATATCTTACAGCTTGAATACGTCCCTTCTGGAATGTAATAGAACAGTCTGTGTTAAAAATAACGTTTATAAAATTGGGTCACAAAGCAGACTGTTGTTGCTCCTGATTGGTCAAGCCGCCCTCCAAAGCACTGTGAAATCCTGCAAACCCACGAGCGCTATGCTGAGGCCGGCTTGAGATTCCTTTTAACAAAGCATTCTGCGTTTAAGAAACTCATTTTAAAATCATTTTAAAGTTACAGAAAATGGAATGTAATACAGTATATTTTTTGTTTGAGGCCGTTTTTTTTACGGTGACCACTAGGTGGTGCAAAACATCGATGTTTAACTGCTGCTGCGTGCTAGCTGTTCAAGACGGGATTGTTTTGATGACGTAAGTTCTGTTCACTGGGAGTGAAAAGGGTGGTGTATTTTTACTGACATAGTAATATTATTGGAATCTACCCCATACATGTAACTTAAAACAAGTATCGGGAGTCAAAGTAAAATGGGATTTTTCAAATTTACATCAAAGTTGGTTTAAAAATATTTAAAGATGGTTCTGGATCTGTAAGACACCCCTTCAGGTTGCACAGGGAAGGGAAACGTTTTAATAGCAGTTATGATAATTGTTGTCAAAACTTCAAAGTACATTGTTTTAATAAGTTATCTAGCAATAGAAAAATCATCTTGCCTTTTGTTGCAGAACAAACTTGACATAGACTCCACACTTCACTCTCTTTGTTCATTCTTTTAATCTCCTTATTCATTCTTTTAATTACAAGCTGTTAAAAGATTTTAAGCATTCAAAATGGGAGTGTCAGGGAATGTTCAGTTTCGAAACATGAAATGCATCGTTCTGTTGTCTGTTTACATTCCCCCTCTTTAGTTCAGAAAGTATGGAAAATACTTTTTTAAAGCTGCACTGAAATTTTGCAATAAATGCAGTAGGCTTTGATATTGAAAAGTTACCTTACAGTCATTTCTTACTGTCTAATGGATGTTTCCTGTTTAATTTTTCTTTAAAAAAAAAAAAAAAATAAATGTTTTTTTTTTTTTTATTGCTGTCCAAGTGTAACATTGTGTTTTGGGAAGGCTGTCCATCTAACTTCCATAACTGCTTATTCAGTTTGGGATTGTGGGGGGGTCCACAGCCAACCCAGGGTGGGTCACAAACCCAACACAGGGCACACTTGCATATGGCTGATTTGGAAACGGCAATTAACCTCAGCATGTTTTTGAATGGGGGGGGGGGTTCTGAGTACCCAGAGGAAACCCCACAACAACACAGGGACTCCACACACAAAGACCCTTGGTGACGACTCAAATCCTGGTCCCTAAGATATGAGGCAACTGTGCTAACCGCTGCACCTCTGTGCCATCCCTGGGAACGCTATATTAAAGCAAATTGCTACTGTTCAGTATTATTTATGTTTAATATATAAATACCTCTCTCCATTTTGTCTGTGTTTGACATACGCAAAGGGGTTCATTGCACAAATGCTTAAAAAAACATTCCAGCACATTTGCTTGTATTCTAACTCAAAACTTCTCTTGTGTGTCGTCGGATCTTCCCTGTGCTCCTTAACGTCTTGCGGGCCACGGGCTTCGTTAAGTCGCCTCGTTTAGTAAGATGACCCGTTCACCCAACGACCAGTAAGTACAGGTTGATATCAGCGAAATGCGACAACATGACTAACGGGGACCAGTGATGCCATGATCATTTGATCCTTGCCGTCAATTTTGCCTGGAAGGCCGACTTGGAAATTGAATTACCTTTCCCGTAATTTAGTTTTTTAAATGTAGTGTCTCTGAGTCACTCTGTCCTACTGTGTTTTAGAAGTGTCCAGGTTATAATAGTAATATAAATATATTATCACATGTAATTACCACTGCAGATGGGATGGGTAAGGAATATGTATCCTGTCATTAAAGTGGCTTTTTCTGGAGGCTTCTCTGGTAAGTATGAGTTTAGTATCCACGTCTAGCGTTGTAATGTCTAATCCGACTTCCATCAGATGCACATTTGTTCAAGTTCCTGCCATTCATACGTGGAGGAAAAAAGAATAGAACTGAATATGTGGCATCTGTTCTTTAAAGTGACATTTCTTGTTTGCTTTCCCTGTATAATATTCAGGAGCACTTCAGCTTGAGCCCCCTGCTCAATGGTACAACAGCAGCTCCCTCCAATTGCATTACCTGCCCATCCAACTCTTGCAATGAATTTATGCAAGTTTGTGGGACTACTTGCAACAGGAATATCTTAACTAACCCACAGGATGACCTGCTTGGACTAGTCTTGGTGGTTAGTCACCCCTTCATTTTTTTGTATGTTAAGTAGCTAAAAGTTCATCCTTTATTGCACTGTGTTATATAAAGGTAGGCAGACCAGTTTCTGAGTGTTTACCAAAGCAGCATACAGTGGTGGGCACCTGGGTTGCAGTCTTAATTGATTTTCGGGTTGTATGAATTTATAGATGGTTGGGGCTGAACAAAACCCCAAGTCTTCTGTGGTACTCCAGGGTTCCTCATGAAGTATTTTTAAAGCTTGACTTGAGGGGGCGCCAATACTTACTTGCATCTTAGTTACTTCTGAAGTGCAAATTGTGAACAAATGTATTGGCTACTAGAGATGAAAGATGCATCGTGATTTGTTGATAATGAACAAATATGAGATCAGTGTTTAACTTCTGTTCATTATGTGATCGTTCAGTAGTTCACAAAGGTTTACAGAATTAACAGATTTAGTAAAAACATAGTAATTGTTTGAGATAAAACATGTCACGATTCATTACTGATGAACGAAGATCAGTATGTAGTTTGTGGTTAATTAATACATAAGTAATAGCGTAATACTACATTATTTGTGCCCCTTCAAGTATTGAATCCCCAATAGTAATTGTTCAACAAGTCGGGGTTTCCTTACGGATGAGAGGGTGGTGTGCATCCACCACGTAAGAATTTAGTCAAGCTGAAGGTGGGAGCTGCAGGAATATAAGGTGTGATCCTTCATGTACATGTAGTGCACAATCGATTAAATTCTCTCTCAGGTGCCACTCAACCTTCACTCTCTGTGCTATTTTTTAAAGCAGCTGACTTCACGTCCCATTTTTTGGGGTTGGACAATGAAACTGGAACACCTGGTCTTAGACCATAATTTATTGGCATGTTGTAGAGCCACCTTTTGCAGCCAATACAGCATCAATTTATCTTGGGAATGACAGACACAAGTCCTGTACAGTGGCCAGAGGGATTCTGAGCCATTCCTCTTGCAGAACAGTGACCAGATTACTATGTGAAGCTGGTGGAGGAAAACGTTTCCTGACTCGCTCGCCCAAAACACAAAGCAGCTGTGTAAAACTCATCAGAGAACAGTATGTGTTTCTCATTGTCCACAGCCTAATATTTGAGTTACTGTCACCACTGAAGGTGACATTGGCACAAGTGACCAAAGGTTTGGCTATAGCAGCCCAATCATGAATAATGACCCTGCGAAGCTCCCAATGAACAGTTTTGGTGGAAACTGGAGAGTCAAAGTGCACATTTAATTTTGCAGTGAGTTGGGCAGCTGTGGCTTTTTGTTTTCGAATACAATCCAGGTTAGTACCCAGACACCCCTTTCAGACACAGTTATCCTGTTGGATGCGGTCCGTCCTTCGTGGTGGTATGCCGACATTACCCTGGATACCGTGGTTCTCGAAACACCATGAACACTTGCTGTCCTGGTCACAGGTGCACCAGCGAGTCGCGCACCAACAGTTTGTCCTGTTTTGAACTCTGATATGTTTCCCATTATCTGGTGTGGATTGCAGTATTACATGTACAGCTGTGATATTGCTCTGCTACTGTAATTCAACCTTCACACTCAGCTCTTGCTGATGCAACGTGCAATCAGTGAAGACCAACGACTAGACCGTGCATATATAGGCATGAAACCTCAAACACTATATTGGCCAGTATTTTAATTTTATTGTTTGACCCCTGTAGTTACTCTGTGGTCTCGCAGCTTCTTCCTGAGCCCTATTTCCCAGGCCTGCTCACAGTCTGATTCTGTGCTACTTGCCTGTTGACGCTGAGTGCCTCTCATGATGGAGAAAGTTGACAGCATTTTGAACATGAGAGGGGTCATGTGAGAGCGACTTGACGTCTGTACATCTTGATCTGACGGTAAACTACCGCTGGCCACTCACAGGTGGCCAGGTGACGCAGTGCGGCAAGAGGACGCAGTGCTGACAAGTGATATAAAGAGGCATCGTGGCAGATGATAGGCTGTCCTGGACGAGACGAGTTCAGAACAAAAGCTGAGGTGCTATGGGGCAAAAAAGAAAATGATATCAAGGGAAAGGACCCCCAAATGCTGTCTTTGTGCAATATTTTTCAGAAATATAAATACTGGTTCTTTTTGATCACTAAAATCTACTAAACTGTTCATTTGGAGGCCGGGAAGGGGAGGAGTATTTCTTTCTCGGAAATGAAAAAAAAGTCTAGTTTAACATTTGGAAATGCAACAGCGATACAGAAACTTCTGGGGTGGCAGAATCGACTTGATACACTGGAAATTTTAAGCTGCCTGTTGATTGTAAATTCAGCTGTAAGTTGCTGCTGGTGCACTGAGTCTGACCGGCACACTGTGCTGAAGTTCATAACTGGCTATTAAAGAGGGAAAAAGGGCAGGAGAGGAGCAGCCAAGAGATTAGATTAGCCTCGATTCAGAAGTGGCGAGCTGGCCACCCTGGGGGGGGCGGGGGGGGGCACAGCGGGCAGCTCTGGCACCTCTCGGGAGCTGATTGGTAGGCAGGCAGGCAGGCAGCCTGTGTCGCGGCTTTAAAGCTGGGCCAGGTGATCCACTCCTGACTCAGAGAGCCTTCCCCCAGACAGCGACGGGAGCACTGTTACTTCGTGGGACAGGAGCCTGAGATGCTGCTCTGGACCTTGGGGGCTCTTTGGCTCCAGTGTCTGGTCCTGATTACTGCCAGCTCGTCGTCAGAGGAGGAGGACGGCAGCAGCGAGAGGGACAGTGAGGAGCACTTGGAAAGTGAGTCTGCTGCTGCCTCGCTCGTGTTTTTCTGCTTCATTGTGTTTCTAAATAACAGAAATTACTTTTTTCACCTTCTTTGTGTAGAAAGTGACTAAACATGAGAGTATTTTGGCACAATTTAAATCAGAGATTTGAGAGAACAGAATATTTGGCTACATTAATTAGTATTTTGGTGATTGACTAAAACATGCCAACTCTCAAACTTCATCTGAATCTATGTTAAGTTTTAAGCTTTTTTTCATAATTATGTTTGTGTTGAAATTGATACATTTCATATTAAGTTCTTTCAAGTAATTCTGAGAGGGCAGCTAATCCCTTCAGAGAATGGATGTGAACTCCACATAGAAAAACTGCAGAGGGATGGATTAAATTAAACTTCCTAAGAACTGCAATTAATTAGTGCGTTGCCTCTTAAGAAGCAGAAATGAGATGGCATTTTATTATACCATAGTTCAGGTTGAGACGTTTTGATTTGTGTCACCTCTTTTGTGTGGCATATGAAGACACAAGGTAACTTACAAATCAACTCACTGTCATCTTTCTATTGAGTTTCACTCATCTGTGTCATTCGGAATGATGATTTTATGCTGGCTTTCGTGAGAAGAATGTTTACATATAGTGCATTGTTTCATTCAAAACATCACTTTATTAAGACTATAATTAATTAAGGTAGAGAACATACAAGATAAAGTACAAACTATGCAATAGAGTTAAACCCCAAACTAGTAGAGAGAACATACATAAACAAATAAATCAATTGCATCTAATTATGTAATTAAATGTGATTCTCACAAGTACTTGTGTAGTTTGACCAGCTACTTTGGAGCTTATTAAAAGTAATTTGTGTGAATTGTATCTTTGATTCATTTGATATTTCCGTTTCAAACTTGCATTCTGCAAATAAAAAAAATTGTTACTACATCCCCTGAACAAAAACGTCATGAAATCAGAGTCATGGCTGGGCAAAGGATGAGGAGTCATTCTTAGCTGCATCGGGACTCTGTAACAATGCCAGGCGCTTCGTGGTTTAGCAGGGGAAAGTCTACGTGCGGACCGGCGTGTTCTAGGGGCATCACTGCCAGCTTACTCATACAAGCCCGCAATTCCCCCCCCCCCCATTACAGTCATGCCCAAAAGCAGCCTCTCACTTTGTAGGGTTAAGCCCGCAAAGCTCTGTGGGTGGTTTGATGGCAGTCTGTGTCATTATCAGCAAGAAGAGTAAGTCATAGTATAGTCATAGTCTGGGATGCAACCAGAAAGTCATTTAGGCTGGGGGAAAAGTGGTCATTTCGGTGAGAAATATACCAAAAAATATACATTGCCATTGGTTTTTGTGCATTTTGAGTTTTTGGAATCTCAGCAAACAGAAGTTCTCACTTTATGAAGTTGACCCATAAAACTGGTAATTTTGACCACTATCACTAGGGATTCTCGTTGGAGACAAACTAAAGGAAATCAGCTGATTGACACATTAATATGATGCTCTGAGGTACATTTAGTCACTGCACGTTCCTGGCACATAAATTCCGGTCTTGGTCGCAGGGGAGCCTGCAGCCCATCCCGGCACATGAGGTTGGGGTACAACCTGGACGGGACGCCAGGCCAACACAGGGCACATGTACACACTCAATGAAATACCCTACTGGCAAATTACAGACAGCAGTCAGCAAAACGTCATGTCTTTGGACTGCGGGAGATACCCTATACAACACAAAGTGAACATCCAAACTCCCCAGATTCAGAGAGGAGATCGGACTTGATCCCCCAGGCCTGCGATAACAACGCTTACCCACTGAAGTATCATCTAGGCCTTCTTATCAGCACTAAACGAGGCCTCAAATTACAGAATTAACAAACGTGTCTCTTGAGTAAGTGGGGGGTGGATCCCACAAGATACTGTGGAGAAAGTTTAGAAGCATCACTTTTCTTAGCTGGGCTTGTCGATGAGGAACAAGGGCTGCTTTCCATGGTTACTGTGTGTCACGTCCCTGAGAAACACTCGCGAGCAGCACTTGCGTCAGTCACGTTGCCCAACTCGCCTGTGTTGATTTTAGCACAGTTGCCATTCCAACACTGTTTGAATCAGTGTTACTCACTGCCAGAAATACGACAAATGTCCTGACTCAGAATTTTCTATAGAATAAGTAATTTCCTTGAAAATGAAAAGAAAATCCTCAAATTACACAATGTAATGATTTGAGCTGTTACCAACCCAACGTTTCAGTATGTTTGATTAATCTGAATGAAAGTTTATAAATATAAGCTTTTTTTTTATTACTTATTTTTTAAATAAGCAATTGGGCTTAAACTGTTCCTGTGTTCTCATAACTAAAAATGTCCAGGTTTTACTTTCATTATGGAAAACTGTAACAGTCTGGTTTGGAAACCTGGCTATAGCGGTCAGTGGAAAATGCCGGACTCAGCGACTCCACGGCCATTTCCAGCTACTCTGGCGTGCGACTGCCAGTGTGTAATAAAATGGCCTTCCTGTCCACATTTCAGGACATATTGTACCCTATGCAGAAGGTGGCTAGTTCAGGTCCAGAAATTTCAAATCCAGACCAGGATTTTGTTTCAACTTTCTGGACCTGAAATTTCCACCTCTGACCTTATGACATGACATGACATGTTCCCCAAGTTTTATTTTCTACATCTCATTCTATATAAGAATTATGGTCATAAAATGAATGGATGGCCCCTGAATCAGACAGCTAATACCTGTACCTGCAAATACAGCAATGTTAGTGCAACACATTAAACTATACATTTGCGTTTGGCGTCTAGGTGTTTTGCTGACAGTTTTGCCAGGTTTTAGTTACTGGTGTCAAGTTATATTTTAGCGTAAAGCGCATGAATCATTCATTAACGGGAAGCCTGTTGAATTTTAACACATTACAAAATAGCAGGAGACGCATTAGTCAGCTATGACTTCTCAGTATCAGATGCCTCCATGGCAAAAACATTAGAAAATGCACTATACTGTATATTGCACTGTACATTTGTGTGTCTGTAGTGATATAGAAGCACACACACTACCGGTTTTTGCACACCACAGGATATTACCACTTCTCCATTTAGTGCATGAACTGTACATTTTTTACTCTTGTTAACCATGTTAAACTTGAGTGAACAACAATAAATGAAAATATAAGTCAAATAAAACAAGTTTCCTTTATAACATGGAAAGAGTATGTAGCCTAACAGTGCATGTCTGACATGATATTAATTGATTGTATGGTGATGGCATCATATTCTAGGCTGTCCTTTAACTTTAAATGCACTAGTTAACTTTCATCCCATGAAGCACAGCAATATTTAATGTCTCTTGTAGATAGAATGCCTCAATTTTTTTTCTGCTGTTATACTTGCTAGAGGAGGTCACTTTGTAGACAATCTCAGTTTGTGCAAAAACTTTTGACTGGTATTGTATATAAAGTGTCTATATGCATATGAAATTGTCTGAAGGCAGATGGATAAATGGTTGACCTGGTGCAGAGGCAGGCTGAGGTGGAGCAAGCTGCAGCTTGTGTAATTCAAGTCGTTAGTGCAATTATATCACAGCTTTGAATGTAAGAGTGAAAGCCCTGGAAATGCATCCCCTTGAATGACCCCTTGGAACATTCTCTGGGAGAGAAGGGGTGGGATTTTGTAACAGGGGCCATAAAGGCTGCATTCAGACAGGAGCTCGGAGGAATGGTGTGTGTGTGTGTGTGTGTGTGTGTGTGTGTGTGTGGTCATTTATATATTATATTGTGGAGACCAGATGTCCCCATAATGTTGTAAAATTTTATTTATTTTTTAGCTTGTGAAAACATTTTTCCGGTCCCCACAATATAAACCTCAATTAAAATAAATAAATAAATAACTAAAAATACATTAAGTCTTGTGTTTTGATTGGTTACTTATGGTTAAGGTAGGGCTGAGTGGGGGTTAGGGTTGTCATAGTTGGGATTAGCGTTTTTCCCATAGAAATGAATGTAGAGTCCCCATAAAGATATGAATACAAATGGGTGTGTGAGTGTGTTTGAGAGAGAGAGAGAGCGAGAGAGAGAGAGAAATGGCTAGAGAGCTCATGAACAAGTGTATGTCTGTTCATACAATGAAGATGTGAAGACCGGAGACTCTAGCTTTGTGGTGATATCTTTGTCACACATATATATATAGACATCTTTCACAGAAGCAGTAGTTTTTTTAGTTTCATTTTGAATGACAAAACCCTTAACCCTACAACCTTTTCAGATAGTTGTCTATAAAACCACAATGATTTTGTTGTGTTTAGAGCCTGAATTAGTTGGACTTCCATAAAATTTTTAAAGTGACGCAGCATAGCCAGAACTTAGGTCGATCTTTCTAGGCATTTCTTGATTTACAGTAATCTGAAAGTAGCACTTTCTCTACTAGTTTTACAAACTCTGGATTATTTCACCATCCAATAAACACCCAACACCAGACATCACTCCAACTAACTCTTCAATTGAGTAAAGTAACAAATAAAATGTAAAAATTCGGCTGTAACGAAAGATGTTAACAAGTGAGAATTTCATTTCTTAGTATGACACCTCAGAACGTCCATCATGGGGTGCACTTGTTTCTAAATCATCAGATTATTTTAAAAATGCCACAGAAAACTGTAAGAGGCGACCTTTAACCAACTGGAAAACAAAGTAAGGAATTCCCTATCATTGGCACACAATATAATGCATGTCATGGCTGATATATTCATGCAAAACTATAAGGCTTCTGGCCATGAAATTTGCTCTGGATCAGGCCTCCTTAATCCTGGGTATGGAAGGCCACTTGCTGTGCTGGTTAAATACTGAGCCTTTAATTATTCTCGATTCAATGGCTGTTTAAATGAACAACAACATTCAAATCCCATCAGATTCAACCAGCATTTTAGAGCTTCCTGTCATTTTTAGTTATTCTTAATGTTTGAAATTAAGGGCTCAGGTTGATTTTAATGCAGTTTGACTTCAAAGGCTCACATCGGTCCACAGTTATTATACGAGCTGTATATCTTCTCCACTCTCTTTCAAATTGACAGGAAGTGATGCAAGTCACACAATGGAATGCATTGCTATGCATTGCTATCTATTATTGAGACGTCCTTGGCAGGCATAAAGCATTGTCGATTGCTAATGGATTATAACTAAGGTTCCTGTGTTCTTGTTAGCAGTGTTCCTATTTAATTCTTCTTGTATTGCCTTGTAGGTTCCTCACATCCACATTGGAAACATGATGGTAAGTAAGTCTGTCTGCTTTATCTGTTTTGTGTCAGTGTCATTAACTATCCATATTAACTCCCAGCTGCTTACCTAGAACAGGGTTGCAGGGTATTGGGAATTTCAGTAATGTACTATTCCCATCCCATCCCATCCCATTCCATCCCATCCCATTCCATCCCAACTGCTCTAACTGAACTAAATAGTCTAAAACATAAGCAAGGGAAGACTTATAGACTTTACTGAAGTTCTTCTGTATCATTGGTAGCTATCAACAGCTAACAATGATAGTCTTTTTAGAGAAATATTCCTGAAGTCACCTCTGAGTCATTGTGAGATAGATGCTATGTTTCCCTTTGATGAAATGGACAAGTGGAGATGCTGAAGCACCTTCATATCCCCTGCTTCCAGCGCTGCTGGTCTCGGAGGTGCAATGTTAACTATCTTCCTAATGATCTTCTCGCTCCTGACAGATCAGAATGTATGGCCTGCTAATTTTTATCACTGTGGCGGAACATCCCAGTCTCCCATCAACATCAACACTAGAACTGTCATCTTTGATCCCAGCCTGCCGAAGATTAATCTTGAGGGATACGATCTACCGTGCAAGCAGTCTCTGAAATTGAAAAATAATGGGCATACGTGTAGGTTTGTGCGTCTGTCAGGGGTGCCGTAAGGGGAGGGGGCTTAGGACGATTTCAGGGGCCCTAAAAAATTTGTAACATAATTGGATTGGTCTGGATAGGGACCCAATATGATACGCTTTCGTTGGGACTAAAATCTCTGCCATCTGTTTTCATCAGTTTGATCATTTCCACCTATCTGATTATTTTTCCTGTTCTGTATCTGTTCATAACGACTCTCTCACATCATGAGCACTCATATGGCAACTGATTCTGGGCCAGATCTGCCTGCATCTCCTTAAATCTGGGTGCCAATGACATTCGGGCAGGAGAGTCTGCACCAGAATCTGTCCAGAATTCTAAATGAAGATCCAGTGCATAGTCGTCTGACCATATACGTATGATCAGCCAGATACCAGATGTGCAGCTGATGTGCAGCTGAATCTGAGGGCCGATCCCCCTCATAGCAAGATTAGTCTGAACTGGATCCGGGCCAAATGTTGTTCAGAAATCGCCACAAATCTGTAAACTGGATCTGGCCTGGCTTGTATCTGCACGAGAGTCCCTTAGTCTCCATTTGTTCCAAGGGCCTGGCCGCCCCTAATGTCTCACTTGTATGGCAAATTGCATCTATTATATAAATGTAAAGTCTCTACTATTCACAGACGTCTTTGAGACCTGTTCTTGCTTGATGCACACAGACTCCTATGATGCCATGCTCTTTTACCGATTAAATTGGAATTGTACAAGAGAAGATCCATGTTGATCCATCCTCTGCACGTCTGTCCTCTGCTCCAGTGCAGCTCAGCCTGCCCGAAACTATGCGCATTGTCCAGGGGTTCAATGGTGTGTTCCTGGCTAAGCAGCTGCACTTCCACTGGGGGACGCCAGAGATCCCCGGGTCAGAGCACACCGTCGATAATACCCACTTTCCCGCCGAGGTAAGCATCACTACTTCATCATCTTGTGAGGAGTGCTGTACCCCCAAAGACTTTGAATTGACACATCGTTGGATTCTAAGATAATTGACTGTTTTCGGATGAGTTCACAGAACATTACGATAATAGACTAGATATATAGCTTCAGGTGTGAATTATCTTCAGTTTTTCGGATACATTGTTCGCCGTTCAGGGTGAATTCATCAGCATTTGAGGTTGATAGCTTTAGGGAAATTAAAATATTGATGAGGAATCTGGTTCTTGTTAATCTCACAGATCCATGTGGTTCACTACAACTCCAAATACGGAAGTATCGACCAGGCGGTCAGCCAGCCGGACGGCTTGGTCGTGCTGGGGGTTTTACTTGGTGTGAGTTAACGCCTCAGATTCTCACCCTCAGTTCATCCTGCTGAGATATATGAGTTTCAAAAAACCAGATTCTCCATCATCTGTCTTAAAATCATTCATTGCATCTGCCTGGAGTGGCCTTATTTTCTGGAATGTTCTATTGATCTTAGATTGGGCTGCATGACAATGAAAACTATGAGAAAATCTTGTCTTCAATCAAAAATGTCAGCACAGAAGGTAACCATTTCACAATCTGTGTGTAGATGTGTAATAAAAGTCAATGCTCTATGGATTCTCCTAATTCTTTTGATTTATATAATTGAGGCTGTAAGGCACGTCTCCCAAAGATGACCTATAGGGGGCAGCTTGTGGCTCAGTGGGCTAAGCCTCTATGTTGGTGATCATGAACTGGGTTGAGCCTGGCCTTGGCACATCTGTGACTCTTTGAGCAAGGCCCTTAACCCGCAGCTCTCTTGGGGCTGCAACAGGTGATCCCTTCATGGACAGTTTGCGCTCACCTACAGAGAACAACCTGGGAGGAGGCACAAAGGGAATTTCCCCATCGGGATCAATATCGATAATAGTGTGAAGGAACCGTTTACTGTTACCTGTTAATTTCCAGTGATCATTTAGACATATGAAGGTATCCCAAAGATCACATGGAATTCTCACAGTTATCCTGCTCCTGTCTTCCTCAGATTCCGACACAGAAATCCCTGGATTTAATGTCCGACTCCTGCTGCCAGACAACCTGGAAAGATTCTACAGATACAATGGGTCTCTCACCACCCCTCCGTGTTTCCAGTCTGTGACCTGGACTGTCTTTAATGAATCTATCACATTGTCAAGGAAACAGGTTAGGAACTCAGAGGAAAGGGCATTGTCATTGTAATTTTGAATCTGTTTGGTGTAATATTAAAGCAGGTAGACCAAACTGAAGTGGTCAATACCCAGAGTGGACACCATCTGAACTGAATTTTCTTTCCTTTCATTTTTTGCCCTCCATTTTCCCTGGTTTTGTATTGTTCTCTCTTAGTGATGTTCTAATGTATCACAGCACCCATGTAAAGCGCCTTGTGGCGACTCTGTTGTGAAAGGCACTATATAAAAATTAATTGAATTGAATAAGATCACACAGGGAAAACTTGAATAATACACAACTAAGATTCTGAATCATTACTATTTATATTTAGTTTTTGTTGTTTAGTTTGCATTTCAGGAAAACCTCCAGCATAAGGGATGATCCTAAAATGAAAAACAGACCAACACACATTAAGTGGTTCCAAAAAAGTGTCATTTTTTAGTTTTTTTTAAATTATCATTTAATTTTTGGTCCAGATGGCCATGTTGGAGGACACGCTGAAGGCCCATCACAGTCATTCCCTGACCAAAAACTTCAGGATTCCCCAGCCTCTGCACGGACGACCTGTGCTGTGCTCTTTCAGAGAGCTGCCAGCCATGGAAGGTTGCTGCCGTACCTCTGCCAATCCTTACAGATACAGATGTATTCTGGGAAGCACTGAGTAACATGCTTGACGTCAACCAGATACTTCACCATCATTAAGGTCTTATCAAAGAAGCCACACCCAGTTCAATGGTCAAAGCATCAGTTGCGAAACAGTCTATAGCAGTGTTTCCCAATCTGGTCCTTGGGGACCCACAGTTGGTCCATTTTTGTGCTCCTTCTGAGTCAGACAGTCCACAATACTGGGGGCTAGGAGGGAGCAAAAACATGGACTGTCTGTGGGCCCCCTAGGACCAGGTTGGTCACCGCTCTATAAGAAATGAAGCCCATTGCATAGGCCTCTCCACAGCCTTGTCTGGCTCGGTGGGTTGCACTTCATGCCGTCAGGTTATTATTTCCTGGGTTTCCTCCCGAAGCCTAAAATCCTGCATTTAGTAGAGTGCATGTGTGCCCTGTGATGGACTGGCATCCCATCCAGGGTGTCCCGCAGCTTTGTGCCCAGTGCTCCTGGGATTGGCTCCAGACTCCCCCATAAGCCGAACCAGGATAAACAGTTGATTCCCATTGGCCTTAGTGGCTTATGTGATACCTATGATGATTAGATTAGGATAGATTAGATAGATTAGATAGATAGATAGATAGATAGATAGATAGATAGATAGATAGATAGATAGATAGATAGATAGATAGATAGATAGATAGATAGATAGATAGATANAGATAGATAGATAGATAGATAGATAGATAGATAGATAGATAGATAGATAGATAGATAGATAGATAGATAGATAGATAGATATAGATAGATGATGATAGATATAGATAGATGATAGATAGGACTTCATTAATCCCAAAGGAAGAGGGAATCCAGTAGCTCAAAAACACAATGACAGACATAAGAATACGCATTGTAGCTTCTTGCAAGCCTTATGCTTGCATGTTAATAATATAGCACAGTTCAATGTTTGCTGTGTTTCATGGTTTTACAGGCCCCAGGAGTTATATTCCATATGAAAGCGATGTTGACCCTTCAAAGGATGTCAGATCAAAGAATGAAGCCCAGGGTAAGCAATGGAGAGCAAATGGACAAGTCTTACAAAAGAAATACCGGTATTTTCACTTCCTGTCAGATATTTACATGTATAAGACAGTAGTCACGTTTTTCGTATGTGTAATATTTCAGTATGTTTTTTTGTGATCACATGTTGATAATGACCCTTTATTTCCTGCTTTTCAGGCCCTAATAGTTGGATCTCCAGTGGTATGTTATCATTTGATGTTCCTATAAAGATCATTTTGGTATAAAATAATATATTTTGCATTTTAGCATAAGTTTCAGTCAGTTTTTGAGGTCTTCATCCATTTACACAGAATAACGTAATCATTTCCTGTTAAATTGCTTGTGGCTCCTGAGATCTCAGAAGTGCTGATAACTATGAGATACGATAATTTATTGCATCTATTTCATTACATGGCTACATATTTATTTTTCTTAGCTTTATTGCTTAATAGCATCATAAAATCTTAATAACTGTATAATTGCAAAAATTGTTAATGCTTTAAAATTTATGGTGTATGACATGGATTATTACCACACATTAATAATAGAGGGCCAATGTGTTTTTTCCGCCATGTTGTACAACTAATGATTGAAACCGATTTTGTTTCACAGGGGACATCTGGGCTACTGCGTTCGGCACTCTCTTTACAGTCACTCTGCTGTCCTTCCTTGTGTACGCCTACAGGCAGCAGAAAAAATACTCCAGGTAGCCGTCGTGATATTTTTCCATTGTTTATTCATTTTCTTGGCATTTACGAATGTGGTAGCTAAAGTGAAATGGTGGTCCATTAGGACTTAGCGACGCCGCTCTCAGACAGCTGCGTTCCTGCGTATTTATGCGCCAACAGCCAGTTATTACCCAGGAGCAGGGGTTCTTGTTTAAGGATTATTTGCACACCATGTCACCCCCATTTGCTTTCGCCGGGCTGATGTGCATTTTAGTCGGTAAATATTGACTGGGCTTTATGTCCCGAGGGTCTCCGGTCGGTTATCGAAATAGGTTTTAACCGGCCTTTCCATCGTCTCTCCACAGATTAAAGAACGGCGCAAAACAGAATGTTATTTATAAGCCGGCCTCCAAAGACGATGTATAACATCTGTAAAGAAAGACTTTATTAGTATTTAGCTAGATTTGACTTGATTTCTAGTCCAAATTATTGTTTATTAATCACTAGATTTATTTATATGTAAATGGATTTTTTTATGGTGTCAAGCTCAAAACATGCCAGCGAATTGAAAAAAATGAAGTTTATCATACAATTAATGACTGATATTTTTGTTTAAACCATAGAAAACCCCATTAGCCCCCGTGTTACTTTGAAAAAAACTATTTTCAAAATGTATTATTTTTTCCCTGTTATCCCCAAGTGGCTATGTCATGTTTTGTATGATTTAGGTCCAAGTTTGTGGAACCAAACAGGAAAGTTGATTGCACTGTAAAGATGGCTGTTTGCAATAAAATGTTACTTTAAAGTTTGTCTGTTGCTTTAAAGAGTTACTGCGGAATTTTGTCAAAAAATGGCAATATAGACTTTTTTATATTAACATGTAATTTCTATTAAATGTTGAAATCTTATTCAAGTCAATGATAAAATGGACAGATTTTACAACCTGACTGTCCAGGATAAATGAGCAATACATCACCTGATACACAGCTGGTCTCTCCAACTTTGTTCACAGTAAGAGCTGCTTCTACAAAGAGAATAATCTAGGCACCTTCATGTCCAAATGTTTAAAGGAATTGGTCTATTTTATGTTTTCTGTAAGCTTCTCATTGGCTGCCTGCAAACTACTAGTAGTTTGTGGCTGACAAGCTGGTGACCACTGATATATTGTTTTACTGGCTGGATCCTGATGTCTACTATTAACTTTTTATAGAAGGTCTTAGTTAAATGACTATATGCAACTATTGTATACAAAGTATCCAAACATTTACTGAATTTTGAAATGGCTTGTAGAAATGTTTGCTGATGGATGTGTAGACTATTCTTACTCATGACGAGTAATCTTTCTAATCAGCATTGTGCAACATACTAACAATGGTACATTCCTTTATATTTTAGTTATGTAGTTATTTTGAAACTAGAAAAGGGATTTCCTTACAGTTCATCTGAAATTCAGTTACAACTAATACAGGAAACCCAGTGATGCTGTTGGGTGGAATTACATTTACATTTTATTTATTCAGCAAATGCTAAATAAAAAAACCTTGTTCAAGGCAAAATCACTCTGCCAACCCTGGGATTTGAACCAGCAACCTCCTGATCATGTGTACAGCCCCCTAATCTGCTGAATCAAACACTGCTCCCACAATTAAGTTAAATTAGCCAGGCAAATAACAGGTCATTAAGCCCCATGTTTAATGGCCAGGGGGAGACTTGTGCAATTCCCACAGAATTAAGCAAGAAACGAGAATTAGGAGACAAGGTTTCTTTAATCGTTACAAAATGCAAGGTAACTCAGGTTTGGCACACATCTTACAAATTATCTACAGCTGCGCGGTAACATTAGATGCCTTTTTATTTATTCATTTTTCACAACTTATTAAATTTAAAAATTGGGAGCACCAGTTCCTATACGCAGATGCTAATGTGAAAATAAATGGTAAATGGTAGTTATTAGCCTCAAGAAATACACATCTTGTGTCACATATTTGCATACTGTATGTAAAAATCACAACACCCTAGAAATGGAGAAATTATACAAAAACCAAAACAAACAGTGGAGAGAGTGTCACTGAGTTTTGGCTAAGCGTGATTAAAATCAGAGCTGAATCAGCTTTCCTGTGAAGATAATGCAGATTTCAGAGCCTCTAAGCAGGAGTAAACATGTGATTTTTGGGGGCCTATGTCCTCATTTGTTACAGTGACAGGCTGTATCTGGTCTGGGACATTGACCCCTAGTGGGCATCGAGTTGGCCCACACACACACACCTTACCCTACAATTCTCGGTAAGGGCCAACATTTTGATTGATACTATTCCTGATCAGCACAATCACAGCCTAAAATTAAATGCTTCCATAGAACTAAGCAATATTATTTAACTGGTCTCTATACAATGATTTCTCACACGCATGGATCTTGGGCAATATGCAGTTTTGTTTTTTTTTTTTACCCCATGACCCGAGCTGACTACAGACGACTCATTCCTTGGTGACACCGAAGCAGTCTGTCCTCACTGTCCCCAGAGATCAAACATTCCATTAGATTACTACTCTGGCCGTTTTCACACGGGAATCATCATTACAAAAATATAACAAAATATGAGCATCAGAATCAGCATCTAGACAACGATTTTTTCCCCGCGTATGATCACACTTGCGATTCTGAATTCAAGGCCGCCCTGGATTAAAAGCGGCCGCTCGCTACCCCCATGATGAGCAGTTAGGAATTCCGAAAAGCCGTTCGTCTGGAAGGAATGAATGTTTGTGGAAAAGCCAGATGACACAGGAATTTAGAAACTAAGCACTTAGCTAAAGCAGGCACCTTAGACCTCATGGCTTTGGGTATCCATGAACACATCCTCAGCTGGACAAAAAAATAATAATAAAGATCACAGGTTAAGCCACAAGTTAGCATTAACTAGCAAAAACAATCCCCAAAATAATAGGACATCAAGGCTGGAGCTCTAGCAGACAAACCGATATTTACAAAAAAAGATGACAGCTAAAGCAACATAGTAGTTTTGTTTCGTACATAAAAATTGGTGTGAAGTTAAAACAAGGACCACAAGTGGATAGAAATCGTAAAAGCTGTAGTTACAGATGCTGTAGTGTGGATTTCTTTGGCTACAACTGACGTCTTTGCTGAACACAACAGAACCAAAATAGCTACAGCGTAGCCGATTGTACCATATCTCAGATGAAATGCTACATCATCGATGGAGAAAGCACCATCAGACAGAATCACAAGCCCAGGACCAAACCTCCCCGATCTGCTGCAGCGCAATCGCCATTTGGTTCTTAACCACAGTTGTTTACAATACTACAATAAGAGAGTGTTCCTGAAGATTCAAACCGGTCAGTAAATGTCCATGTTTACAAACAAGGTTACGGTTTGTCATATGTATGCAAATCTAACCAAAATAAAAAAAAAGAAAAATATAGATATAAAACCTTTGTTATATACAGAGGCTGTGGTTTGATTTAATTTTTTTTAAGCATAGTGCCACAAGTTATATTTGCATAAGAAATTGTACGGCACGCAAAAAGAGTGGGTGTAGAAACTTAACCCAAGTTGGTCATAGAATAGCCTCACATTAAGGGGAAAGCTTGAGTGTAATCAACAGATAAAAAAAAAAAAAATGTATATATAATCAGGAGAATTTTTGCGATTAAACAAAAAAATGGGCAAGCGTGTCTCGCTCGCATACAAGGTACTGGCAGTCTTTCCTGAAAGTGACCTACGCATGACCGCCATTCCGCTTGCCAAACACAAGACCGCGGTCTAATGCACCAAAGTGCGGCAGTCGTGGGAAGAGCCTTCCAAATCATAAGACGAATGGGTGACGCTTAAGGGTAAGCACATGACTCGACTGGAGAGCCAGTCTTCGGACAGCGATTGCTGTTGGGGCCAATACTGCCATCAAAAATCAGTACCCTGGGCAGAGCAGCCTAACCCAGCCTAATATGGGACTGAAACACCGACATAACAGAACAAGAGAAGGTGAAGCAATAGGACAGAGATGGGGGGGAAACAATTACAACAATAACTTCAGATCCGCATTGCTCAATAACACAAACAGGTACAGTCCAAGTCTTCAGGTCTTCTGTGGGCATGTAGAACATTTAAAAACATTTTTACAGCAATGAAGGTTCTTGAAACACCATTCCCCAGTATTGTGGTTGGGGTCTCCAGTTCTGCCTGTCCATTGTCCACTGGGGGGGGGTTTAATCTAGGTGTGCGTTCTCCGGACTGACCCTGCTTGACCCTTACTTTGGATCCCCGTGTCACCGGACAGTGACACATAGACCAACGTGATCCTCTCCCCTCAGAGGCAGGTAGGGGAGAGTAATCAAAAATCGAGAGGTGCTCAGCACATCAGTTAGGAGGAACCAACATCGCTCTTTATACCTGAAAGAGATGCAACATGGCATCAGAACAGGGAACCAACGTGAGAATATCACATTACAGTTTAACAGAGCACAGGTAATGTGAGAGCAACTTAAACCTCCCCAGAACACCCCAAGTCCAGCATGTCAGCACTCAACGGCAAAAGGGAAAGGGCATGCTTCCTACAAGGATGCAACTTTCACTGAAACAGGCACGGCTTGCGCTGGTATGCAGCGACAGATTGTAACGAGATACGGGTTAGTTTATTCTCGATCCTTTGGTGGTTTGGCTATAAAAACGCGTGAAAAATGGACAATGAAACAGGCACCAGAGACACTAATGAAAATGCTAGTGCGCGTGAGCATGTCAGACACACTAATGAAAATGCTAGTGCGCGTGAGCACGTCAGACACACGAATGAAAATGCTAGTGCGCGTGAGCACGTCAGACACACGAATGAAAATGCTAGTGCGCGTGAGCAGGTCAGACACACTAATGAAAATGCTAGTGCGCGTGAGCACGTCAGACACATTAATGAAAATGCTAGTGCGCGTGAGCACGTCAGACACACTAATGAAAATGCTAGTGCGCGTGAGCACGTCAGACACACTAATGAAAATGCTAGTGCG